GTGACTATCTAAGTATTCTTGCCAATAATATGGATTTGTGTACCAGATGCTGGTTGACTTAATCGGCTTTTGTGTCAGCAGGATGCGTTACTCAGGGTCAGCTGAAATACAGTAGTTTGTTGTACATGTAGCTGGAAACCTGCTTTGTTGCACACACCTTAATGCACTGCGCTGGATCCACGCTTATCTTATCCTGTGTATAGAGGATTTGTAAGGAAAGGTGCTTTTGCAATAAACCACGCTCCATCTTTGGTGCATTAAAATACTAGATTAAGACCTTCCACGGAAAGCAGATTTTTATCAGAAACTAATAATAATATTAATATTAATCGTTCATCCCTAACGCTCTTTTGATACCTAGCTGTCATGCCCCCTCCCATAACGGAGCACGATGGCTGAGATAGTGTCAGGTTGTCCCGACCCAGAGAGGAACAGTCGAGATGCGGAGGATGGATTCAAACCACGGATTATCAAGTCACTACGCTGAAATAAATGTGATGTTACGAGTGCTCATTTTATTATCTAATTATACAACTACAGCCTAGTTCCGTAAAGACATCATGCCAAAGAGCTATTCAGCCATTAACAGTGATGAATCAATGCAATTTTTCTGGTATGTCATGTCTGCTGTCAGATATCTCAGACATATTTTACGCCGTAACACCAAAATTTATCTGGGAGGTTCATTGTGAAGAAAGGAATAAACGTTCCTGGGAAAACATTTAGTACTAGCCTACAAAAATCACTCGGAGGCGACTACAGTTCAAGACACGTAATTGGGTAGTTGGTGTAGCAAGTGTCAGCAAGAATGCTGCTGACATTGAGTAGCAGTCGTATCTTGAAGCCCCTTCAACCGTGGGGAACACAGAGACCTTATTCTGGAAGACAGAATGCACCCAAATTACTCCGACGTTTTGTAAACTCCGAACTGAACATCGACGAGGTAAATTAGTGAACATGTATCGGTCTGCACTACTCTAAATTGAATGCAGGGAACTGCATTGTTTGGAAAACCATGAGTAAGCATGCGCACTTTGTAACCGAACAGCCATAGCTTTTGGAGCATGATACATTCCTCAACTGAAGTGCTTGTTGCAAAAGAAAATGCTCGTTTTCTCGTCGCCGTTGTCGACAATCTGTAGGCATTTCATTCCCCGAAAGCTTCATACCGTAGCCTACTACACGCGTCCATTGAGATTCAGGGATATGGTGCTTTGTCGCAATAGCTGTTCCAATTTGATATTCGCGACCCGAGCCCCAGTCCACGCATTGGCTTCATCCGTAACACTTCACTCACTTTTCTGCAGATGTAAGCGATGCGTCCAGTGCCTGCATGTCCAGAAGCGTGTCCCTATATTTTGTGGGCACAAAGTGCACGCCATAAGATGGAATGGCTTATGTCAATCCATCCAAAAACACCGGCTCCTTGTTCGCTTATAAGATGAGAACATTTTTATGTACATGTTCGAAATCTGCCAGGCTTTTGCCAAGAGCTATCTAAAAATTAGGGTTTTGAGGACCTTCCAACGTTATATCCATCATATTGTTGATAGAAAACTGAATATGGGGAATGTTCATCTTTGTTATATAGTACCCTGCGTACGAAGGTTTTTCGTGTATTCTCATCCACCTGGGAGTCTGAGGGTACAAAAAATTCATTATTTTAACAGATTTCCTAGGTGGTCCTTTCTAGTAAACTGTGTTAAGCAGAAGAAACCGATAAGCCGGGTTGTATAAGTCTTGGAAGTCCAGGAATACTGAACTTTTGTGTCAGCTATATGTGAAGCGTTTTCTGGCAGCTGACAGACGGTGAAGAGTTGGTCAAAGCCATCCTTGCCAGGTGGGAATTCAACTTTTTTCTACTCTTGAGTCACTGATTCAAGTACCACCGTAAGGCAACAAAGGACAATTGACACTGTGGGTCTGGTTACGTAATCATGCGTAATCATGGATACACATGGAACGGAATAGTGACAGAAACAATGACCCAAAAACATGATGGTTAGGTTAACCGAAACATTTGGCTTAAAAGCCTGACTACATGGCAGAAAATGCAAGTGCAGTACCATTTCTACGGGACAGATAGCCACGCATTTTCAGACTTCCAACATTCAGGGCCAAGAGACTGTGCCGGTCAGAATTCTAATAGTCGACCAACCTGGTATGAGACTGCATGTCTGACCGGCAACTCCAAGTATAGTTCAACGAGTCACAGAAGCTGTCAAATCACGATAGGTCCAGTCTTCTCCTAACCTGATTTTACTCAAGGCAGATTTGCTGTACAAACCAGTGGCCTGTGCATTTCTTTGCAACACCCGTCATAGTAATTCATTAGGCGGCTTCCATATTAGAGATATCACAAAAAGTGCCTCCATAAAAAGTCTTTCAGCCTTTTACCAAGCTTCCATAGGTGAGTATATTAGCTAGTATTAAGCACCCTTTAATGATTTGCTTAAACGGAACTTGAACGAATTCCTACATTTCCAACAAAAAGAGTGCAACGACAGAGAGCTTTATTACTCCAACATGGCCGCGATGGTAAGGGCATTTTAATCAAGTCCATCCTATCCGCACTGCTGTCCACCAGCAGTATATTACTGTAGTCTAGATTTTTAAGAAAAAGTATACCCCAATGGCAAGTTCTGTCATGTATGGGGGAGACGCACTCATTGTTGATTAGTGCATTTAACGCCACTAAAAGCGCCACAATAAACTCTATTACAGTGAATATAGTACGATCTGATTTTAGTGTTCACTCATCTGGCTCAAAGAAATTCATGGACCCAAATTTGTAGGGTAGCTATCGTGTGCCCATCAATGCAGCAAGCATGACAATCTGATTAGCTTCTAACAAACCACCTAGTTACCTAGCGTCTTTTATTTCTTTTCTTTCGAGAGCAAAAATCATATATGGACCTTTATTTGAAATTTATATCAACCGAAAGCAATGAGAAAAGTGCTTCATTGATTCAAATACATGTTTTCACTCTTGGGAACAAACTATAACAGCCTCGGTTAAACAAGTATTGATTCAAATACCTGTTTTCACTCTTGGGAACAAACTATAAAAGCCTCGGTTAAGCAAGAAAAACGTGCTCTTCATTCCTAGGACACCCAAGCGTTCTCTGCACAAGCAAAAGCTGACAAGCGCTGTTCAGCCTCGTTTGAACCTGAGGCTATAAATTCTTCAAGGAGTCTGCTCACTGGTGTCCCTGGCTACGAGATCGCAGTTCCACAGGTGTAGGATTAATGTAAGGCAGAACTCTAGTGAATAGCTAGGCAAAAGTAATGAAACAGTTTGGATGGCATGTAGCAAGAATAAAAGTACCCTATAGGTACAAGTTACCTCCTAAGAGGAAGGAAGCAACTACGCACCGCCTTCGAAGCAATTTTCTAGGTCTGTCCATTTAATAATTTTTGAGCAAAGTTTTACATAACTTACCCCTTTCCTATTGTGTTCTGGCGCATTCAATTGCTACACTACATAATTCTATCCAGCCTTTAAAGAATGCGTAACTTACGGAGATAGATGGTCGCAATATTAGTTTGCTTAGCGTTGCATATTAGGTAATATAGCCATCCGGAGACAATAAAAGAGAAGTCGAACAAACTGCTAAATAATCCATGTTTGACGCGGGTCATTCCCATAACCTACAAGGAGGTAGCCGTCATAGTTTTACATTTCGGTAAGAGTATGAAACCTGAGATCATGAGGTCACTTTTATGCTTAAAGTTGCTTGTCATAATTAGCTTTCATGAGTCTGCATTTTTTTCGACAGCGACGGAAGAGTATGAAGAAAATTCCTTTGCAGGCTGTCACTCTACCTTATGTATGCCACTATTCTTGAGGAAGTCACATGTCCAAACCTTTTCTGTGGAAACGGTCTCAAATACAGACCGACGCCAGTAATGAATGTGAGATCTGTAAACAACTAAGTGTCTAACTTACGGGAGAAAATTCGTCTTTAAATGTTATTTTGTGGTGAGTATGAGGAATCTGTTATCACAAACAGATTAGGATACCGGACAGTGCCAAGATGGATTCGAAAATTTGCCGGCGTATTTGGCTCTCTTCTAGTAAACCAGTTGCATTCCATTAGGACGAAGAACTCACACAGAAGGCACGCTTTGGAGCGTCTGTACCATAAAACGAAAGACGCCAAAATATTAAGCAGTTGCACAGCATACCCTTTAGACTTTGATAAAGATCTTCAACAATTGTTGTTATATGTGTATTTATGGCACCTATCGAGGGCGTACACTGATCGTTGCTGGTATTCCATCTGTAGATTGAAGAAGGATGTGGAAAGTGATTAACATCTATGGTTGAACCACTGGTTTCTACATTTTAGCCTGATCGTAATTTGTTTATTTTTAAAAATGATTTAACCAACTGGTTTGCCGCCCTTTAGTCTGAGGAAGACAAGCAGAGACGTGGGAATTTCAATGAGACCATCAGCACACAACTTCGTACGACGGAAATTCACCTTGCTGTCAGGCGCAACTGTTGCACTTTATCACTAATTTTACTCCTTGGTTATGGCGTGAGGACTCAGACGGATGCAATCACTAAGCCACCGTCTGAAAATCATGTAGTCGCTCCGTATTATTATACATTATAATATTTTAATGGTTTAACGCCATATATAATATAATAAAAAGTCAAGCCTATGCGAATTTTATGCCCAAATAGTGTGACAAACAGTGGAATTCTCATACACTATACAAAATCCTTCGGAAAGAAAGGATCACACCCGTAATAAACCATGTAGTATTGTGGTGAACATTGACTCTATTCTATTGTGAACATTGATTCTATTCATTCTGTTTAGTGTATTTTTATATGCCTTTGTTTTACGATGCGATCGATGGTACGCCCGCGATATACGAGACGAGAAGATATTCATCCGTTCATATTAGGATTTCTATACTACGCGTACATTCGGTAGTCAAGATACCTACCACTATTCTAATTATCACAAGTATATATGAATAAAACATATTAACATGGATAATTTGTTTAACTACAACAATTTTATATCATTCCACAAGCATCTATCGCCGAAGTCCAGTTGAAAGTTGAAACTGTATGCCTCGAAGCGAGGTGTTCCATCTTTTGTCCGGAGTGTTTAATTCCAGAAGTAAGCCATGCACTGCAATGCCATGGAAACATTAACCGCTATTCCAGCAAGAGCTATTGGCCCCCGTGGGAATCTGCCTTCGGTCAGTAAGTATGCTGGTGTGTGAAGAACACGTGCCAAAGCGAAGATACGAAAATGCCACAGAGCACATGACTGCGATGGACTTATGCCACAATACCATGCTCCAAGTGCCAAGAATGGAACCAGATTTTCAATATCATTGAGGTGACACCTGTTGTGCGAAGATTCAGAAAATGTACGAATAATACCTTCTGACCGCCTCAACTTCTGCGTTAGCCGGACCCTTGCAAAATGACTTGTGGGTGATGCGGATTATATAGTTCAATCTACCTGGTGCTGGAAACGTTTGTAAATGGTGAGTCCAGTGAGAAACAATGTTTTGAATAGCAGCACACTTGAGTAAAAGGCAAACACACGCTCCAACTCCCCGAGAGACATCGCGAAATCCAATAATAAAATTTGAAATTTGGCGTTATTCAAACGTCCTCCGTCAACCAGTATGCCATTCAGTTCAGTTAGGAAACAATAGGCATGAGATCGCAGCTTCACAGATTGAGGCACAGGTTTGAGGCTCCAGGCCAAGCTTCTCGCTTTGTGTCTCTCCTTCAGTTGCTTCCGCTCGGTTGATGGGCACAAGCGAAAAAGGGTGTCGCACAACTCTTTAAGTCCTCATCTTTGAACAGAAAGTTCGCTAGACTGAGGACTCACATGAAAGGCATCTAAAAGTGCCTTGAACGGAGTTGTAGATGCAGTGTGAACAACCTTCGCTGCCAAGCGGCAACGGGCCTTCATATTTGCAGATTGGTTTGATGATTTTTTCCTTCCATGCAGAGTAAATTTGCCTACGTCGCGCGACTGACGAAACATCAAACAGAAATGTGACCGAAGTTTCCCTCAGGATGCTTGAGTGGACCTCGACTGGCCCCAGCGCATCCGCGAATTTGTCCTACGTAAGAGTTGATAAACACCCCTCACGACGGGGAATAAATCATTTGGATGCCCTTCTTAGTTACGTCTTGTTGTGTTTGGGAGAAATCTTCAGTGGGCCGCTATAACGGCGCAAAACTGAATGGAAACATTCCCAGAGGTTCTTGTCCGCCAGCGTCGATGTGGTGTGAATCGGGCCACTCGAAGAGAGGAGTGGCTGCATAGAGAGACTGACAATTTTCTTATTAAGTCACAAGGGCTGGACATATCTTACGTCCAGTGTATGTTTGTTAGATTCGCACCAGTTGTTGTTCATGTGACCGGGCTCCATATTCGTCTGCTTTAAGGAGGGAGTTTACCGTCTGGGGTCCAGAGAACGTTTTTGAATATCCTTAAACACCATATGATCCTATGAAACCACGCGAGGACAAATAGCTGCAATTTTTCGCAACGTTCACAGGAAAAAGTATTTCATGTGCGGAGAAAGTGAGGGGAGAGAAGGTGGTTCGAAAACGCTCCGGTACCGCACAGCAAGAATATTAGGCGTCTCAGAACTCTTCAGTTTGTCTGCAGACGGTTTTCGGAAGTAAGGCGTAGATTGTGTCTTCCTATGTGAGTAGACATATCGAAATGGATGTTTTGAAAATTTCTCAAACAAAAGCATGTTCATTGCTAATCCCCGATAAACAGCGTAACTAGGAGTCCAAAACCTAACAGTGCACGGGATGAAAGAGGCAACCGTCATAATTTTATACCACCGAAAAAAATGCGCCTCCCTGAAACCAAGAGTTGGCGCAAACCGCCCTGATGAAATGAGAAACAGTGGGCATCGACAGCACCAAGCCGAGAACCAGGTCACTAGGCCAGAGAAGCCTCTTCGAAGCCTTGACATCAAACTAATTATAGAACCATTACAACTTCGAACCCCTCTACTTCTAACCTCAGCAGATATGGTGTGGAATTGCCCGTCCGAGAAGTGCCTCAGACTTTTCATTGGATTATCTCCAATTCACAGTCAACTTGTCCTCAACAACCATCAATATTCGCATTTAATGGAACCCGGCTTACACCGGACGTCCCTAAAGAGGAAATCTCGGCGGAAAACTATTGGATTTTCTGAGTTGACTCGAAACGCTGAGATGCTGCTTGGGCCGTTTTAACTTAAATGCAGCTCTGTCTTATGTGACGAAATGTTTGCGCTTATGGACAAATTAACCCAAACCAAAGACAAATGACTCGTATCGGATGCCGTACTTTTCGACTTCAATCGAGTCCCGCAAACTTCACCGCCCCAAAAACTCCAATTTCATGGGATTAGAGTGAAAATGGCACGTTGCGTTGAGGTTTCCCTGTCAGGTAGAACATTCCGAGTAAAAGTCGGCTAAAATTACGCTTCTTCTGCGTCGGTCCTCGTTGTATTTTCTTGAGGTTCTGGTTCAAAACCTTTCTGGTCTGTGTCAACGGCCTTCCAGATGCGCTTTCCTGTTCACGTCTACCTTCTGCGAATGACCCTAAAACCTTAGAGTTTCGACGCTAGTGTCAGTGCTACGAAGCACTGGTCACTTGACTGGCACCTTTTTCTAAATGACAAGTGTGACTATATGTCGTCCGGAGGAGTGTTAGTGAACGCTTTCGTCGTGAACGTTGAGAACAAGCCGGATGAAACTACAAAGTCAAATACCGAAGTCGTGATATATGTTTGGGATTCGTCAAACATACCCTCAAGAGTGCATCATGAAAAATTTACCCAAAAGGCATTTGTTATTCTACGGAGGATTCGGCGTAACCCCTCCCCGTAATTCTTGCAAGCACCTACGAGTGTTCTATAAGGACTGCGTTAAACCGCCCCCAGAATACACTAACCAAGTTGTCCCCTCGGAATGAAAGAAGGAAGTAACCCTCCCTGAGTGTGTTCAAAGAGCTGCTACGAAGATGGCGTCTGGTCTCAAGTCCGCTGATTATGAAATGCGTATCGTAGTACTTGGACTATGCCCACTAGACATTTGTTGCCTTTCGGGGGACCTAGCAATTATTACTGCGGTGCATGAACACACTTTGGTCGGCAGGTTGCCTACTGTTAAACTAACTATTAATCAGTGAAAACGTGGCAAGAGGGCTCTTATGGCTCAGGGGGACAAATAATCTAAGACAACAACATGCTAATCGCAGGTACCTGAGGCCTAACAGATTTGAGCGTTTCCAACGAAATCCCGAGGGAGAACCAAAAAAGTCATTTAAACTCGAGTTCTATGAGTTCGGGAAAGCATTCGAATAAGGTACATTAGCTTAACGGCTAGAAAATCTCATGTTTCGGGTGGAAAAGTGTGACGAACATTGACTCTACTCTATTCGTTCTGTTTAGTGTATTTTTATGTGCCTTTGTTTTACGATGCGATAGATGGTACGCCCGCGATATACGAGAATATACGATATTCATTCGTCCATATTCGGACTTCTATACTACTCGTACATTCCGTAGTTAAGATACCTACCACTATTCTAATTATCACAAGTATATATGAATAAAACATATTAACATGGATAATTTGTTTAACTACAACAATTTTATATCATTCCACAAGCATCTATCGCCGAAGTCCAGTTGAAAGTTGAAACTGTATGCCTCGAAGCGAGGTGTTCCATCTTTTGTCCGGAGTGTTTAATTCCAGAAGTAAGCCATGCACTGCAATGCCATGGAAACATTAACCGCTATTCCAGCAAGAGCTATTGGCCCCCGTGGGAATCTGCCTTCGGTCAGTAAGTATGCTGGTGTGTGAAGAACACGTGCCAAAGCGAAGATACGAAAATGCCACAGAGCACATGACTGCGATGGACTTATGCCACAATACCATGCTCCAAGTGCCAAGAATGGAACCAGATTTTCAATATCATTGAGGTGACACCTGTTGTGCGAAGATTCAGAAAATGTACGAATAATACCTTCTGACCGCCTCAACTTCTGCGTTAGCCGGACCCTTGCAAAATGACTTGTGGGTGATGCGGATTATATAGTTCAATCTACCTGGTGCTGGAAACGTTTGTAAATGGTGAGTCCAGTGAGAAACAATGTTTTGAATAGCAGCACACTTGAGTAAAAGGCAAACACACGCTCCAACTCCCCGAGAGACATCGCGAAATCCAATAATAAAATTTGAAATTTGGCGTTATTCAAACGTCCTCCGTCAACCAGTATGCCATTCAGTTCAGTTAGGAAACAATAGGCATGAGATCGCAGCTTCACAGATTGAGGCACAGGTTTGAGGCTCCAGGCCAAGCTTCTCGCTTTGTGTCTCTCCTTCAGCGGCTTCCGCTCGGCTGATGGGCACAAGCGAAAAAGGGTGTCGCACAACTCTTTAAGTCCTCATCTTTGAACAGAAAGTTCGCTAGACTGAGGACTCACATGAAAGGCATCTAAAAGTGCCTTGAACGGAGTTGTAGATGCAGTGTGAACAACCTTCGCTGCCAAGCGGCAACGGGCCTTCATATTTGCAGATTGGTTTGATGATTTTTTCCTTCCATGCAGAGTAAATTTGCCTACGTCGCGCGACTGACGAAACATCAAACAGAAATGTGACCGAAGTTTCCCTCAGGATGCTTGAGTGGACCTCGACTGGCCCCAGCGCATCCGCGAATTTGTCCTACGTAAGAGTTGATAAACACCCCTCACGACGGGGAATAAATCATTTGGATGCCCTTCTTAGTTACGTCTTGTTGTGTTTGGGAGAAATCTTCAGTGGGCCGCTATAACGGCGCAAAACTGAATGGAAACATTCCCAGAGGTTCTTGTCCGCCAGCGTCGATGTGGTGTGAATCGGGCCACTCGAAGAGAGGAGTGGCTGCATAGAGAGACTGACAATTTTCTTATTAAGTCACAAGGGCTGGACATATCTTACGTCCAGTGTATGTTTGTTAGATTCGCACCAGTTGTTGTTCATGTGACCGGGCTCCATATTCGTCTGCTTTAAGGAGGGAGTTTACCGTCTGGGGTCCAGAGAACGTTTTTGAAGATCCTTAAACACCATGTGATCCTATGAAACCACGCGAGGGAAAATAGCTGCAATTTTTCTCAACGTTCACAGGAAAAAGGATTTCATGTACGGAGAAAGTGAGGGGGAGAGAAGGTGGTTCGAAAACGCTCTGGTACCGCACAGCAAGAATATTAGGCGTCTCAGAACTTTTCAGTTTGTCTACAGACGGTTTTCGGAAATAAGGCGTAGATAGAGTCTTCCGATGTGAGTAGACGTATCGAAATTGATGTTTTGAAAATTTCTGATACCTGATTCGCGTCGTTTTTTTGGCAAGTTCGGACAACTAGAACATTTTCGTGATAGTGTCCTGTGAGGATTGTACGATCGACATTGTTATGTATTCGAGCGCGAAACATGCATGTTCTAGGCCGGCAAGCCTTCGGAGTGAGCCAGGGCACCTGTTGTGAACCTGAATGAGATTATCGGAGCTTGAGACTTCCGTTGCTTCATTGGTAACCCCACGTTGTTCTATCCCGGCAAATACATCCCGAACTCCGCTCTAACCAGAGATTGAGGCAATGGTTAACCGAAAAACTTTCAATCAAGTTGTCGGCGAAGCGCCTATCCCCTCTTTTGTAGAAATTTATTTTAGTTATTCTCTGGTTGTAGTTTCTGCGCCTCTGAAACATTGGTAGTGGTCAGTCTTTCATTTCGCCGATCAATATTGGCCGAATGGAAGCAATTTCCCGAAAACGACGGTGTGTTCAAAATTGCCATTTGAAGGTCAATAATGTCAATGGTAAATACGTTCCTTGCAGATTTTCTTTGTGGAGAATTTTTTTGAATGAGTGGATCTTTCAGGTCCTCACTATTCTCAAACTCAATAAAGGTGTATAATGAACTAAGGTATCACCACTTGGAGTAAAATATGGATAGTTTACGGTGGGCGAAGCCTGTAGAAATTTTTCCCGCAGTGCTAATTTATGAAAATTAATGAGGCTCAAACTGCACGCAATAAAGCAAAGTATTATTGAATGCGAATCCTGCAACTGGATTCGGCTTTTTGTTTAACGCTCGACAAGACGGACATCAAATCTTGTGTTCTCTGAAGTTGGGAATAGCTGCTTCGAGTATCGGCGATTCAGACGCATCCATTATATTCGGAAACTCATGCTAGGTTCCATGAACGTGAAGCTGCAGATGATAACCCTCAGGCAAAATTCTAGGTTTTGGCGCCCTCTTTTATACTAACGATGAAGTATTCAAGTGCTGTTTACTGGTAGCACAGCTGTCCATGATCTCCACAGCCAGCTCAAAGAATTCGTCACCAGCACAGCTGTCCACTACAAAATAAGAACACCATGTTCTCCACAGCCAGCTCAAAGAATTCGTCACGTAGTTTGCCCTATAGATTCGCACAATGAGCTGCTCATCCTGATGCCTAACATTGAGTTCAGACAGAAATCAAGGAGGCCGTCGTTCTTTGCACTGAGGACATAGTCGGAATAATTGTCGAACATGCGGCTAGGGGGTCCGAGATATCTAATCAACTAGATAATTATAATCTACGCCAATCAGCATGCAGCAGCACAAATCTAACTAAAGCAAACGATAAACGTGTGGTTATATTGTAGTTCACAGTAAGTCAGAATAACACGTGAGTACGGACAAGGGAGATTGAGTACACGCGGCCAAACTGGTCCGCTTTCGTGGCAGGTAAGAAAAAAAACTGAGTCACATATCCAGTCAACCCAGAACGCTCACGCGAGCCAACCAATCGGACACGCATCCAATCAACCACTCAAGTCACACGTCAGATTGATGGTGGGACGACGAAAGGACACACACACGCGCTAAATCTCTGACAAACCGAGACAGCTAATGCAGGTTATAAGTCCACGGGGCCAAAAAATACGATGACCGCGAGATGTTTGGTGTCTCTCTGAACAAAAACGAACTGGACGACAAGTGCTTCGCGTACCGTTTGCAATTTGTCAATGTGTTACTTAATTGGCTCTTTGAAATCCTCGATATTTCTTTGGATTTACTAGCCACCTGCTGCACTTATAGTACACCAACCGTGAGGATTACATTTTTGTACATATATCGGTATAACCAGACGAACTAGAAATCCAGAATTCAGCGAAACGTAACAGCCAGCACGTGTGTATTCGAATTGGGGTATATGTACAGCCTATGGAATGATAAAACAAGAGAATAATGAATAGAGCGATGAATAGAGTATCAGTCATGTTCATCACATCCGCCACACCTTGAGTGAGCGTGTGGATGTTTATAGTTCAGTGGTGGTGTTCATTGCAATCTTTCGGATCTTCTCGGAATGGAAACTTCAGATTCCTCACAGGTTGTGTTCTTCAGATACGTTTTGTTCAAATGCAATGATATCCTTAGTATTTGAAACAGCAGGAGTGCCGTTAACAGGCTGACCTCTAGTATTAAACTCAACCTGGTCAATGGGTCTCCGATGACAAGAGAGATCATCCAATTCGAGAATTGTGACCATTCGTTTGCCATTTGATGAAAGCACTATTCCTGTAGCAGGTCGTAAAGCATTACCCTTGAAAAATGTAACATCAACCGTTTTGGCACAGTCAAGACTTGTACGCAACGAACGAGATTTAAATAGAAGC